CCGCCCCCCCCCCCCCACATGTGTTTAGAAGCCCTGCTGGCTCGTGAAATCTCGCTAATTATAACTTTGCCGAAAAGGGTCTAGATTCCTATGCAAGAAAAATGCAGATGGGATTTGGAATACATTTTCTGAAGTCCTTCCAAATGTCTTTGAAAAAAATCTGAAAGTTTTCAATGGGGTACTGGAGAGGGGAAAGGAAGGGAAGCTATGGAGGCAATATTGCAGGGATGGAAGGGTAGGTAGTTTGTGAGAGCCAGTCTGGTGTCGTGATTAAGTGCACGGACTCTAATCTGGGAGAACCGGGTTTGATTCCCCACTCCTCCACTTGCACCTGGCTGGATGACCTTGGGCAAGCCGTAGCTCTGATATGAGCTGTCCTTGAAAAAGAGCAGTTTCTGTCAAGAGCTCTCTCAGCCCCACCCACCTCACTGGGTGTCTGTTGTGGGGAGGGGAAGGGAAAGGCGTTTGTCAGCCACTCTGAGACACCTTTGGGTAGTGAAGGGCGGGGTACAAATTCAATCTTTCTCATCTTCTTCTTTTTAATCTTTTTAGCAAATGCTTCTGTCCGTAATTCTTGTTCTCCCTTTCATCCCCACCAAATGAAAGCAGGAACGTCTTCATGTTCCATCAGGACCTTTGCCACATAGTTAGATTCCATCATTTGTGGTCCATGACCATACAGAGTTGTAGACACCCCTGTTGGTGCTTTCTGGGTAAATGTTTTAGCACGAACGTTCGGGTAGGGTTGCCAAGTTGATTTTTCCTACCGGTGGGGGAGCCTTGCTGGGCTCCGGGAGCTCTCCATTGATGCGTGAGCACGCGCGCGGCCAGCACATCACCGGAAGTGACGTGCGACGTCGAACACGTTGAGGGCGTGGCCCCCCCTCGCCACCAGAAAGAATAGAAAAATGTTACGCAAATAGCTCTAAAATCTGCTGGAAATGTAAAACAAATGTGGGAACATTTTATCACATGTGGTGGTGGTGTACAAGAATACAAAAGTATTGGAATGGTATCCAGAATATAATATATGAAATGGTATTAGTGAAATTGGATTTGCTGCCTGAAATATTCTTATTAAATATGATCCCGGAAGATCTTAGCTATAATGAAAAATATTTAATATTATATATATTAACAACTGCAAGAATACTGTGGGCAAAATATTGGAAACAAGAAAGCAACCCCAAAAGAGAATGGTTAGAAAAGAGATAAAAGACTCTAAAATGTTTGTATACAAATGGTTATGTATGTATGAAAACTAATAAAAAATAATAATAATAAAAAAAGAACACATTGAGGGCGTGGCCCCGATCGTCGGAGTGAAAACCGTAGAGTTTTCTCTCCGATGATCGGGGCCACGCCCCCAACGTGATCGGCGTGGTTGCGTCACCTCTGGTGACGCAGCCACGCTGTGCTTCGGGAGGCGGAGTTCCCCCCGGGGCCCGATTCCGTGGCACCAGAAATTGGGCCTCCGAAGCGGGGGTTTACCTGCCACCTGCCCCCACTTGGCAGCCCTAGTTCCGAGGCTGGTGAAAAAGCAAGCTCCATTCCCAATTTAGGATATAAATTAAAATAACAGTTTAAGTTACTCCTCCCCTGCGAGTCTCCCTCTCCTAGCAGGTAGAGCAGTTGGCTGATGCCTGTATGTAAAAAAAAAAAAGACCGTGACATTTTGTGTTTGGAAAGTGATTTGGGCAGCAGCTTCCTCAAGAGCAAACAGCAGCTGCTTCTGGTAGAGTTGTAAACATTTGCAAATGCCAAGCCTGCATTTCCTAGAGCAAACTTCAGCGCGGGGGGGGGGGGCTTTCCCATATTAAATTTTATGTGTCTCAGGCCAAGGAAGGAATGGGGGCTGCGTGGAAGGAGAAGAGGGTCCTGTAATGTTGCCTGTTGCTTGTGAGAGGGATATTGAGTTTCACCTGGACCGGAGTGGGGTTTCCTGGTGCTTTTTGCAGTGAAGGCGTTTTTCTCTGATTGTGAAGAAGAAGAAGAAGATATTGAATTGATACCCCGCCCTTCACTACCCAAAGGTGTCTCAGAGCGGCTTACAATCTCCTTTCCCTTCCCCCTCCCCACAACAGACACCCTGTGAGGCAGGTGGGGCTGAGAGAGCTCTTGACAGAAACTGCTCTTTTTCAAGAACAGCTCTTATCAGAACTATGGCTCACCCAAGGTCCTCCAGCCAGGTGCAAGTGGAGGAGTGGGGAATCAAACCCGGTTCTCCCAGATTAGAGACTTAACCACAACACCAAAGTGGCTCTCAATGTGATGAGCTGTTCTGCTAATGACTGTCCTTCTGTCCCTCCCCTCAGGTCAAACAGGTCGGTACGTTCTCATCCAAAGACTACGTGACAAGGAAAGGCAGCTTCTCCCTCATGAATGCCCCGTGGAGTCCCTGGCCAAGTGTGGGCAGTACGCCAACGACGTGCAGTTCATGCTGCAGCGCACCGGCCCCAGCCTCACAGAGAGGCCTTCTTCGGACAGCGCCCCCCAGATGCCTGAGAGGACGTTTGTCAGGGCGAGCCTGCCGATCAAACCTCGGCCGGCCAGCACAGAAGCGCCCAGGCCTAGGCCGCCCAAAAAATCCTTAACGTTCAACCTGGGCCCCATGAGCTCGAGTGACTTGCTTGCAAAGAACAAACTAAGGCCGTACAAAAAGGACCCCGTGAACTCGAGGGATGGTGCCAACCGGGCCTTTCTGTCCAAAGAGGAGCTGTTCAAAACCGTGTTGCACCAACAAGAGCATCTCTACACCTTAGAGATGAAGGGGGACGGCTTGGAAACGGATCTCAGGCACTGGGAATGTAGCCGGAACCCCAGCCCGGAGGGGGAGATCCTGCGTTTGGAGCAGCTCATCCAGCAGAACGAGAGCGAGTTGAGCGAGGAGGAGTATTGGCAGAGTGAACTGCGGTCGGAAAAGGAGTGTGAAAGGAAGCGGCAGGAGAAAGTGCGCGGCCTGCGGGCCACCATGGAGGAGTACACACACAAGATCCACGAGCTCACGCTCAAAACGGAGGCCTTGGAGAAAGAGATCCAGTGGGAAATTGCCAAGCGGGCCAAGGAGGGGCCTGTCCAGAGCCCTGCTGGACTAGAGGAGATGGCGGCCGTAATGAAAAGGGACCTGGATGCCAAAGTCAAGCAGAGTGTCCATCTGGAGAACAGCCTGGAAGCCGTGGGGACGGCTCTGGAGGAAGCAGAGCAAAGCCTCCAGGTACGTGCTGAGCGATGTTCCCACCTGAGGGGGAGGGGGGGGAACCGACGGCCGGACGGTCGAAGCACCTCACCTTTTAGACTCTGGCATGTTTTTGAATGCAGCTGAGTGGAATCGGGCTTTTTGTTGTTTGAAAGAGAAGTTTTCATCTAGATTGACATTGCAGTTTGAAGGAAAAGGTAGGCATAGAATAGGCTTCCCAAGTCCCCCCGGGGGGGCGGGGAAACCCCCGCTCCAGAGGCCCGGTCCCCGCCGCCGCCCGATCCGGCCCCGGGGGGAACTCCACCCCGACGTGCACGTCACCAGGAAGTGACACGACCACACCAGGCACGCTGGGGGCGGGGCCGCAGTCATCCAAGGGAAAACTCTATGGTTTTCCCTCAGATGGTCGTGGCCCCGCCCCCCAGCGTGCCCAGCGTCGTCACGTCACTTCCTGGTGACGTGGATGCGGCGCGCGCTCCGGGATTGACCCGGGAGTCCCCCGCTCCAGAACAAGGTGAGACTTGGCAACCCTAGCATAGAATGCAGCTGCAATGGGGAAAGCCTGTCTATTAAGTCTCAGTTCTCGATGCCAAAAGTGGCCCATCCCCTAAGAGGACAAAGAGACAAATATTCCTGCTTGAAAGGCTATCCTAAACGAATTCAGGGCTCTTTTTGTAGCAGGAATTTCCTTTGCACATTAACCCCTAATTTAGCCAATCCTCCAAGAGCCCCTGTAAGAAGAGCTCTGTAAGCTCTTGGAGGATTGGCTACATTAGGGTGTGTGTCGCCTAAGATGCAAAGGAGTTCCTCCTACAAAAAGAGCCCTGGATGGATGGATGGATAGATAGATGGATGGCTCTTTTTGTAGCAGGAACTCCTTTGCATATTAGGCGACACACAACCTAATGTAGCCAATCCTCCAAGAGTTTACAGTAGCCCCTGTAAGAAGAGCTCTGTAAGCTCTTGGAGGATTGGCTGCATTAGGGGTGTGTCGCCTAATATGCAAAGGAGTTCTTGCTACAAAAAGAGCCCTGGATGGATGGATAGATAGATGGATGGCTCTTTTTGTAGCAGGAACTCCTTTGCATATTAGGCGACACACCCCTAATGTAGCCAATCCTCCAAGAGTTTACAGTAGCCCCTGTAAGAAGAGCTCTGTAAGCTCTTGGAGGATTGGCTACATTGGGGGGGGGGGGGTCGCCTGATATGCAAAGGAAGTTCCTGCTACAAAAAGAAACCCGTAGAACGTTAAGCATCAGGGCCCGCTTTGCAGCTTAAGAGTTCTCCCTATCATTTAGTAGTGGATAAGATGGGCTCTTGGAACTCTTTGTTTTATGAACCTACGAAGGGTGGTGGCTAGAAATGTGTCGGTATCGCAAATGGTCTGGGACTTGGTCACCCTGTTGTTAAGGTCTTGGCCATCTCTGGTCAGGTGTGGCAGACTTCTTGTATCGGGATTATGATGTGCTTCAGCGGGAAGCAGGGAGATGAGCATTCTGCCGGGTCATCATCCTTCATGGACTTCAAGCTGTTCTCCGCCAGAATTGATCAAATGGGACTAACGGAGTCCTACTGTGACTCCGACAGTCATGGAGCGAATCTGGCGACGATGATGGTTACAGCTCTGATCAAGGAAGACACTGCTATGTGTTGTTCACGTGAAGCTGAGAACAGCATTGCAAGTAGTGTGTTCTGCAGCGCCAGAAAAGATACAGGGCGCATTGGCAATATAAACACCAGCTAAGAGCCAAGTGCAAATGTTACTACTGAAAGTACTTTTCCACTCTACACCAGGGACACCCCGATGTGCTGCAAGAAACAATTCAATTAAAAGTTTTATCCTGTGAGTATGAAGCGTCTGCACTCCACAGGGGGCTGCCTGTTGCGTCTCTGTAGGATTCCTTGTTTTGGCCCTCCCTCCTTCCAATCCGGCCGTTTCAAATGTAATGAATGTGGCTTGTGCAAGATGTGAGGCAGTCTCCTCTGAGAGTGGGGTAGTTCTTACGCTGAGTTTCTCCCCATCTTTTTTAAAGTGTAAGAGTGAAGTATGTATCCAGTATACAGCGGAAATAAATAAAATGCTGTGCAAGGTGTTAGAAGCAGCGCAAGCATTCTGCTTCCCTGTGTGCATGGGTGTAACAGGGGCAGCTGTCCCTTGATTCCCGTTAGCCCTTCCTTTGCTTTAGGCGGAAATAATGCTAAATTAAAGGAGAAGACCCTGATGCTGGGAAAGATTGAAGGTCAAAGAAGACGGGGCCGGCAAAGGATGAGATGGTTAGACAGTGTCATAGATGCAACAAACATGAAGTTGAGCAAACTTCAGAGGACGGCGGATGACCGGAAGGCCTGGCGTGATCTGGTCCATGGGGTCGCAGAGAGTCGGACTCGACTGTGCGACTAACAACAACAAAAAATGCTAAATCTCATCTAACCCCATCTTCAAATGTTTACTATCCATTGGCGCCCTCTTCTGGACAAGTGGAAGAACTGCTGCTTTGAATGTGTGTTTTATATACACACAGGCATGCACGCACATAGGCATTTGTGTGTGTGTGTGTGTGTGTAAATAAAAACTTTCTCAGAGGAGTCCAGGGACTCCTGGGGTCCTAAAGTCAAGCCCCTCTGTGCTCATGCAGATAACATGGAGCCTTCTCAGGTTTCTAGGCGTGGGAACCTCGTCTCTCCATTTCTGGAAAAAGGCAGGTGCTTGTAGTAGAGCGGCTTCCCCCGCAGTTATCCAGCTTCCAGATAATCTCATAACACTAAAGAAACACACTCAGCGGTTGCCAGGGCCCAGTAGCTCAGCCCTATGAACTCTTAACTGGTTGTTGAGTAGCACCAAGGAGCTGCAGTCCAATGCAAAAGATTGTACCACAGAGACACAGAAGTCTTCATAGAATAGAAATGAGCCAAGTTCAGGTGTTGCGCAATGCTGGTTTTTCCCCCTCTATTTCTGTGAGCAGTTTTGAGACTTCTCCCTATTCTGCCAACTTCTGGCTAGAAGTTGTTATTTATTTATTTATTTGTTAAACTTATACCCCGCCCTCCCCGCAAGCGGACTCAGGGCGGCTTCCATAAAAACAAATGTTAACCAGTGAAGACATTTCTTGTTGTGTCCAGTACAGAATCCCTTCTAACTATAAGGGTATAATTCATTGGAACTTAGAGCAGGGCTTTTTGCAGGGGTCATTTCCTGCAGGAGCGGAGCTCCAGCAGTAAAGAGCCCAGGGGGTGGGCATATGCAACAAGCCCCACCCCCTACTCCCAGCAGCCCTCAGTCAGAGCAAGAAGCAGCCAGGAAAGTTGCAGAGCACACACACACACCCCCGGTCCAAAACAGTCCAGTGGCACCTTTAAGACCAAGTTTTATTCAGGTACAAGCTCTCCCTCCTCTGCGAGGACAGATCTGCACGTTTCCCCCCCCCAATAGCTAGCAATCCAAAATAGTCCAGTGGAGCCTGAGCGGTGGGTGTTACCTTCTGACACACTTCCGGTGATGTCAGGGGGTGTGGCATATGCAAATGAGTTGTGCTAATGAGTTGTGCTAATGAGCTCCTGCACCTCTTTTTCTACGAAATGACCCCTGGCTTTTTGTAATGCGTAGGGTTGTCAGCTGACAGGTGAGGCCTGGAGATCTTCCAGAATTATAATTGATCTCTAGGCAACAGAGAACAGTTCCCCCAGAGAAAATGGCTGCTTTAGAGGATGGGTTCTGTCCTGCTAAGGTTCCTCTCCTCCACAAGCCCCGCCCTCCCCAGCTCCACCCATAAAATCTCTGGGTATCTCCCAACCCCGCGCTGACAGCCCTAGTGATATTGGCCCTGCAGTAGGGTCACCAACCATTTGGAATTCTGACAATAGAGTGTTGAGCGCAACTGCAAAATGGCTGCTGTAGGAGGCGGGGCCAAGAATAAAACGGCTGCTGCAGGAGGCGGAGTTAAGCACAAAATATCGGGGAATGGGGTTATGCTTAACTTAAACCTCCAACATTTCAGGCAGAAGCTATGTTTACCAGGATACCTTTTATATAAATATCTTGTTTTGAACCCTTTTCTTGCATGCACAGCTTACTTTCAGCCACCTATTGGAGATCCCCGTGCTCTGGTGGCAAGTGTGTGGACAGACTAATACCCTTGGTCTTGATTTTGATGGATTTGCATGCATGTTGAAGCCCAAACTTTTAAAATAAAGGATTGGATCCAGTGGGAAAATTTTGCTGACATAACATGGAGAGATTTTTGTTGAATCCTCTCCTCTCGCTGCAGACATTCGACTCCCCCTTGTGCTGTTCCGGGGCAGTGTCCTGTATCTTAGAAGGAACATTTCACAGGACATCTGAGGTTACTGTGAGTGGAGGAGATGAGGAAATGGCGCTATGGACAGATCCCTTACTAACTGTGAGGATAAGTCAAGTGGTTTCTTGGACTGTTCGTACCCCACATATTCTGACCTGATCACATTGCTTCACAAGTAGGGCTTGGCCAGTGGACACCCCCGCCTCCCCTGCACACACCGACTTGGCCCAGGACTGCACCTTTAAATCTTGTGATCTGATGAAATCTGATTTGCTCCCCCACCCGGTTGAGAAAGAAGGTTGTGCAGAAAGTCTTCTTACCGAAGACCTAGATGGGAAGATTATCCCTGTAGTGCCCATCAGTGTGAAACAGGCAAGCCTGTTTTCCTCCCTGTGTCAGAAAAAGCAGTCCTGGGCCTGAAGGTTAAGTGGTCTCTACAGGGCATCATGATTCATCCTGCTCTTCCTTCCAGCCATGTATGAGACAAACGAGAGATGCGTCATCCCACTGGCAAAAGAGGAGGGTGGAACATATCCAAGGAATGCAGGGAAGCTGGTCATGTGCTGCTAATGTGAAATCCCTGGATGAACCTTCAGTTCTGTCTCCATATTTGGGCAGACGGGGATCACGTACCCCCATGGAGATCAGGGCCCCACGGGACTCGATACAGTTCCGCAGGGCCTGCGAGACGGAGCTCTTCCACCAGTCTTTCAAGTAGGAGCCGCCCTCCACTACCACCAACTATTACTGTCGTCAACATCGTGGTAATAGGTTGACCCTTCACGAGATCGAGCCACAGTGTCATGGGCAGTGTTCCCGCTAAGCTGAGTCAGTGTGAGCTAGCTCACAGTTTTTTAGCCTCCGGCTCACACATTTTTGTTTCAGCTCAGGAAGGAGGGCTCCAGAGCAAACTCATTTACGCAGCAGCCAAATCGCTCGCCCACAACCTTTGTGCCAGCAACTCACAAGGTAGGATTTTTGCTCACAAGACTCCACAGCTTAGAGGGAGCATTGGTCATGGGAGGCCGAAGTACTGCTAAGTCGGGACCCTAGTATCACATTTTATTGCACGCCACCCCGAACTGACTGAAGAATGACCATCCTTGCGAGCACTGTATTGCATTTAATTGTATTTAACTGTATTTAAGGTACTACGGTCCTATCTTGTTTTTAAATGTTTTATGCCAATTTTGGCACACGGTGCCGTCAATTGTGAGCCGCCCTGAGCCCGTTCGCGAGGAGGGCGGGATATAAATCCAATAAATAAATAAATAAATAGATTCTCCAGGGATGAATATCTAGTTTCCACATTATACCTGTCCTCAGCTCTTAGTCGCCTGTACTTTCTGGTGAATCTCGGCTCGCTGGTGAGGAAGACAGTGTCACAGTGCCCATGGATTGGAATCTGAGAGAAGGCTGGGGCAAGATCATGAGACTGCCTTATGCAGCACATTAGTTCCGTCGAAGCCCTGGAGATCCGAAGCTCACTCTCGCTTGTTCCCTCCCGTATCTTGCAGACCCAGAACCAAGAACTGGAGGAGCTAAATAAGGAGCTGAGGCAGTGTAACTTGCAGCAGTTCATCCAGCAGACGGGAGCCATGGTGACTGTCTCGCAGCCCAGATCAGAGGCGGAGCCCCAGCTGGATCAGGCGAGCCATGAGCTGCCAGCTCACCAGGGAGACGGAGGTCAGAATGCTTCTCAAAGACTGGGTGGGCAGCAGGGGGAGGGGAGGGGAGGGCAGATGGCTTTAGTTAGCACTTCCTGGAAGGGTGTAATGCTTCCTTCCATTTCAAACTGGTAGGAAGCGCTGCTGGTAGTGGTCCTCTGAAAAAAAAACCAGGGGTCATTTCCTGCCGGAGCGCACAGGAGCGGAGCTCCGGCAGTAAAGAGCCCAGGGGGCGGGAACATGCAACAAGCCCCACCCTCTGCTCTCAGCAGCCCTCGGTCAGAGCAAGAAGCAGCCAGGTATGTTGCAGAGCCCTCCCTGGCCCCCCGGTCCAAAACAGTCCAGTGGCACCTTTAAGACCAGGTTTTTTCAGGTACAAGCTCTCCCTCCTCTGTGAGGGCAGATCTGCACGTCCCCGTCCCCCGAAGAGCTAGCAATCCAAAACAGTCCAGTGGAGCCTGAGTGGTGGGTGTTGCCTTCTGACACACTTCCGGTGATGTCAGGGGGTGTGGCGTATGCAAATAAGTTATGCTAATGAGCTCCTGCACCTCTTTTTCTACGAAATGACCCCTGGAAAAAACCAAGAGGAGGGGGTCACAGGTATCGATGTGGAAAATACAACAGACAACCAACACTGTGACATGGATGAGTAGGACATTTAGTAAAAACCATTTTGTATAATAAGTCAGCTTTGCAAAATAACAAGGAACAGTCCATCTTACTCTCAGTACAACTTTACACAATTACAAGGAAAGTCCATCATACTCAATAAGCACACGAATATACACTTATTTCATACCAGTCTTCCTCAGGAGTAATCCCATTGTATAGCATGGTATCAGCCCCTTGATATAGTTCAATGTCTGTTGATAGCAAATCAATGCTTGACTTCTTTATTTTCTGCACTTTATCCTAGAAAAAAATCCATGGTATTTAAAACGAAAAGAAACATGCAGCTGAATGAAATAACGAGAGTAAAATAATAAATGTTATCTTGTTAATTTATAAATTCTTAGCTGAAGTTGTTTAATTTTTTAGAAGGAAGTTTAATTTTTTAGAACTTGAGGTTCCATTTCCGGGTTAGTATTAGGAGGAAGCCAGTCTTATCTTTTCAATTAGGTGCACAGGCCTCCTAAGTGGTAGTGGTTCTCTGGCTGCTTTGGGAAAATCTTAGGTTCAAGAGCCCACAGAAATGAATGACTGGCTGAATTGCAGACTGAGCGTAATATGCTGTGAGGAGAAGGAGCAGCTAGCCAGAACGTGGGAACTTGCTCATAAAAATATATACTACAGCAGCTGACAACAGCAAGTGGAAGTTCCATCAGCTGGGTGTCTAATTGAGCTCTGCTTTGTGGGTCCTAAGTCTAAACACTGTTGTTTTCATAAACTTGTGCTTGTTGCCATAAACGTCAGCTTGTTAAAGTCAGGATTTGCATGCACCGTTTCACACTCCTTTCAGCGTGTGGCGTTTTCAGTGAAAGACATCTGTGTAGGCTGCAGCAATGACAGTGGGCACCTGAAAGACAGGCACTTCCTCACTCATAGAAGAACTTTGTTTACATGGCATCAGTATTGGCCAGGGATCATTTCCTGCAGGAGCACACAGGAGCGGAGCTCCAGCAGTAAAGAGGCCAGGGGGCGGGCACATGCAACAAGCCCCACCCCCTGCTCCCAGCAGCCCTCAGTCAGAGCAAGAAGCAGCCAGGTAAGCTGCAGAGCCCCCCGGTCCAAAACAGTCCAGTGGCACCTTTAAGACCAAGTTTTATTCAGGTACAAGCTCTCCCTCCTCTGTGAGGACAGATCTGCACGTTCCACCCCCACCCCCCCAATAGCTAGCAATCCAAAACAGTTGAGCAGTGGGTGTTGCCTTCTGACACACTTCCGGTGATGTCAGGGGTGTGGCATATGCAAACAAGTTATGCTAATGAACTATGCTAATGAGCCCCTGCACCTCTTTTTCTACGAAATGACCCCTGGATTGGCCATCTGTAGTAAATGGTCTAGAAGTCTTGTCTCTCCACTCTGTTAAAGCAAAGCGTCCTTGAAGACTGATGCCAGTATTGTGATATAAGCATTTGTGGGCTGGAGGTGTGTAGGATTTTTGTTACGTGTAGTGCTCTAGATGTTTCAGCTAAAACATTAAGGGCCCAACGACACGTTAGATATACCATGTGGTCACCATGGGGACTTGCCGCCATTTTGCAGCTGTGATTTCCCTGTAGGAAGTTAATTTGGGAGCACCACAGGGGCCTGATTCAGATTAGGACTGTGGTGCAGGGGGAGGAGGGACTCCTGCCTTCACTGCCGTGTCGTTTTTGCAACATGAAATGGCAGTGGAATGATATTTACCTCTTTCAGGGGTTGCACGTGCACTGAATGCTTTACATATGTAGTCCCTCACTCCCCCCAGGGGTGTTTTGGGTTGGGGAAATCATGTGGGAGGAAGGCAGGAGCCCTTCCCTACCCACTGTGGCCCTGATCCAAATTGGGCCCATGCAATACTTCTGAATTGTGTTCCCATGGGGAACTTGTAGCTGGCATCCTGTCCCCATGGCTGTCATATGGTGTGTGTGTATATATATATATAATTCCAGCTAGTTAATCATTTAACATAGCCTGGTTTATAGGTGCTCCAGAATGAAAATACAGTGTTGTCAACTGGAAGATCCTGTGTGAACCAAAGCTCTTCTGGCTCACTGTCTTCCATGGGCTTTCTAAGCATGGTCCTCAACTTTGGTTTTCTTCTGTCACTCGAAGAAAAGGGGGAAACAGCTTGGCTGTGGCCTTTGGAGGTCTGTAGAGACAGGGGAAAGTTTAAACAGATTCCATTCAGATGGGACCTAGACTTCACACTGATAATACCGCGTTTCCCCGAAAGTAAGACATCCCCCGAAAATAAGACCTACTTACAGTTTTGCCTCTCGCTGAAATATAAGACATCCCCTGAAAATAAGACCTCCCCGATAATAAGGCCTCCCCCGAACATAAGGCCTCCCCGATAATAAGGCCCCCCGAAGCTACCGTAACTCTGGGCCGTAGCGGCGGGCGCCGCCGTGCAGCTCACTGTTGGCCGCAGCGCAGCCGGAGCAGACAGGAAGTGCGAGGTCTCTTTTAATCAGAGAGCCTGCGCTGCCGCCTGCTGTACCGTATTCTTCTTCATGGAAAAATAAGATATCCCCTGAAAATAAGACCTACCGCATCTTTGGGAGCAAAAATTAATATAAGACACTGTCTTATTTTCGGGGAAACACGGTACATTAGCGAGAAAGAGTGGCCACAGAAGTCGTCAACCATTGCGTTATTATACTGTGCTCATTGTTAAGCTGGAAAGAAAGATGAACTCTGGGTGAAACGACAGAAATTTCAGCTGTGAACATCCAGGAGCCCTGGATGGAGTAGAAGTGTTTAGGAACCTTGGCTTAAAAGGGAAAACAGGCTGTGTCCGCTAGCTGCCATTTCTGTGCATTCTGGTCTTCCCTGTTCCCGCTTGCTTGCAGCTCAGCAGCTTGCCGTAAACATGCCAGGGAGACCGTGGGAACTAGACGCCGTTACCAGTCTGGCCTTGTGAGGTAGGGAGGGCTTGCGGTCCACCTTTGGTGTGAATCTTTCTGCTCTCAGGATATCCCGCGACTCTCCCGCTCATTATGTAACCTCCCGCCAGGAGTCTTCCTGCGCGCGCGTGCTTGAAGTTCATTTGCTTAGGTTCGGGTGCCAGAGGTGGCACTCAGAGCCCTCTCTGTGGGCACGCGTGCCATCGCCCCAGCCAGGCCCAGACCATCATTAAAGTGTCGAATTCTCTGCCAAATAATTTTTAAGTAGATGAAAGCATTTGGGATTGCTTTCCTTACTTTGTTTGGATCATCTTAAGTTAATGTACGAGTTGGTTTTTTCTAAAGTAAAACCTCAGTATTCAGGTTAAATTGCCGTTTTGGCACTTTGCGATCAATAAGTGGGTTTTGGGTCGCAGTTTGGGCACTCGGTCTCTAAAAGGTTCGCCATCACTGATATAGGGGGACAGGAATGTAAGATAATGATCACTGCACAACGTCTGAGCTTAAATGTACTGAAACATGGCTTCTGATAAACCTAGGCTTTTCTGATGGACTTAAATGCATCTTCCGAGTAACTGAATTGTAATAACGATTCTCTTCCGTAGACCTATCCGATCCCAGCACAGATTCACCTCCCAGAGCTACAGCCAAGCAATTCCTCGGCAATCCACGGAACCTTCGGAACCCCCTGGTGTCCAGCTTGAACCCCGAGGGTGTGTATGTTTGAACTGGCCGAAGTCTCTTGTGTCCTTTGATGCCTGGTCTTGCCAAGCAGATGTCCCAAAGCTGTTCTAGTCTTGCTGCAATGGGGGGCAGCTGTCATCCGCGACAAGGTGGCTATGCTGCAAACTCTTCCGGTTCCCAGTCTACTCTCCCCTCTCTCTCTGTCCCTCTTGAACAACAGCTTCTTTAGGATGCTAAGGGGTTGGTTGTCATTACCTGTAAGCTACAATACTTATGGTTAGCAATAGGCATTGGCAAGGAAGGGAGATGGAAGATGTCAGTAAACCGAATCCCGGGGAGTTGTTTTCATAGTTGTCAGACCAGGACAAAGGCTTTGTATAATTCATCAACAGCATGCTGTGTGGTGGTTGGGCTGTTGGCAGACGCTCACACGTAACATGTTGATGACTTGCAGAATGGCCCTTCTTTGGAGGCATTTGCTTTGGCTTCTCCGTGCAATATTGCTTCTTCTGTTGAAGAAGTGTACTCGTTGAAACCTGTTTAATACTTTACTAAAGAGGACTTTGTTCTGAGCTGTTGTTGCCAAATTTCAGTATTTTGGCTACTCTTGGCTACACGTTGGACTTTTAAAAAGTTGACGGCAAGGGTTTTTGTTTTTCACTTTATACACACAAAGGAGCTGCGGTGGCTCAAGTGGTTAAGACACTGAACTGCAGGCTGTGGAAGGTCGGTAGTTCAGCACTTCGAGACCCGAGTGTGCCGCATGACGGAGTGAGCTCCCCTCTCTAGTTCCAGCTCCTGCCAACCTAGCAGTTCGAAAGCAAGAAATTGCAAGTAGATAAATAGGTACCACTTCGGTGGGAAGGGAACAGCGTTCCGTGCGCCTTTGGTGTTTAGTCATGCCGGCCACATGACCACGGAAACGTCTTCGGACAGCGCTGGCTCTTCGGCTTGGAAACGGAGATGAGCACTGCAACCCTAGAGTCGGATTCGACTGGCTTTCGAGCAAGGGAACCTTTACCTTTACCTTATACACACACAGAGAGAACATGCTGGCTGACTTGCATATTTTAGGAGAAGTAGAGAATGGTGCGGAGAGTGTTTTGATTTTGGATGTGGTAGGTTCAAGGTCCCTAGAAAAGATCCATATTGCTTTGTTTGAAAAGATTGGGAAGAGAGTGCATGGTAATTTTTAGGCAATGCCATGGATCAAGGATGACAACTACTCAGCCGGGTCCGTCAAAGTAATCTGTCTCCCACAATGGACAAAGCATCCAATGCAGCATGACTATGTTGTTGTCCTCACAGATCAATATTTACACATTTTTATGGCTGAGCTGGTGAAGGTATCATATGGAGCGGAGTGCAGTGACTTTGAAAGGGACGTTTTGAACAAACAAAGAATAACTGAGTGGTCGCCAGTATGGTGAAACATTCAATAATGTAGGCCACACAATCCAGCTTTGAAAAATCCTGTCTGTAAAGGGAGAAAACAGATCATTTCTCCTGACAAGGTGCCATTCATCCAACGTGTGCATCCTACACTGAAACTCCAAAACGTGTGTCCCCCCCCCCCCAGGAATGGGGTTTTTAAAAGGTGTCGGATGTTTTTCAGGTTGCTTATTTTAAAGGCAATCTAGGCACCCGCCTTTCAGCATCAAAATCTGGTCAATCATGTGTTGAGCCCAGGTTGTTTCTTAACAGGCGTTTTGACAGGATATAGAACCTTCAGCCTCCTTGCTTAGACCCAGCTAGGTGCATCGTTCAGTTATATCTGATCTATTATGATTTTGCTCTGTTAAACCCTCTCCTTTCCCCGCCACTGCGGCTTCTGCCGGAGGAGTCTGGTCTTTTTAATTTTAATGTTGAGGGTGTCTTCTGAGAGTGCTGGCCTGGCCTTTGGTTTTCAGACATAGGACTGTATTTTTCCATGAGTATTTGCCTCTGGGTTTCCTATGCGCTGGTTGAAAATAACTGAGCTTTCCTATATATTAGTACTGGGGCCAGTTTTACAGATTCTAGTGCCCACCACTCATCGCTGCCGCCTCTGGAGTTGGGGTGGCTTCAGGCAGCTCTGGCGTAGGGTGGTCGGGGGCCCTCTCCCAGCCCCCACGGCTGATTCCCCCAACAGGTACCCTACTGATGATGCCATTTGCTGTTGTTACCATTGTACCAGCAAAGAGAGCAGCGGCCATTGGCAGCCAGGGCAGTTCACTGGTCTGAACCCCCCACCCAGCATGGGGCACAAGGCAGCTAAGACCAGGGGTCATTTCATAGAAAAAGAGCTGCAGGGGCTCATTAGCATACCTAACAGGCTATTAGCATAATAGCCCATTAGCATATGCCACGCCCCCCTGACACCACCGGAAGGGATGTCAGAAGGGGAAGCAAAAGGGGGGGAGGCATCTTCAAAAGCCTCCCCTTCCCTTCCCCAGGTGGGCTGGGGGGGGGGAGCGAAGAGAGAAGGGGTTTAAACTCTCCTCGCTCCCCACCACCACCTTGGCAGGTCGGTTGGGAGGGGGAAGGAAAGGGGAGGGGGGGCTTTTAAAGATGCCTCCCCCCCCCCTTTTTTTGCTTCCCCAGCCAGCCTGCCAAGGTGGGGTGGGGGGGAAGCGAAGAGAGAAGGGGTTTAAACTTTAAACCCCTTCTCTCTGGAGTCGCGTTGCCATCTTCCCATTATATTCTGTGGGGCCATAGAATATAATGGGAAGATCGCACCACTACTGCGGTGCGCGGGGTGGGGACCTGGGGGCAGGGCTTGTGTCCGTTCCTTGGCTGCCGGAGCAGTGCTCCGGCACGCTCCGACCCCAAATGACCCCTGTCTAAGACTGCCTGCAGTTCTACAGTAAGGGTACATCTGCTGCATTCTTCCATATTCTTCATGTGTACACACCAGGTGACGCCTATTAGGAAGATTGTGTGCCTCTCTGTTCTTGCTTAAATCTTTAATTGCATGGAATGGCATCTCCTCCTCCTCCTCCTCCTCCTCCCCCCCCCTCTGGCTGTCCCCTCCCCTGTTTATCAAACACTAAGCTGTCACAATGGGGTCACTTCATTTATTTTTGTGTGTCTTACAGTCATATCAACAAGGCAGAGCATCTGGAGGTAGAAAGGCCAGCCAAGGAGGACTGATTGCCTTGCGAGTATAACTATATAGAAATAAAACCCTATTTCATGTATGTATTTTGACTTATTTTTTTATCATGGATGGATGTAGATGGTTGTGCAAAAATATTTTATGGACTCTTTTTTAAAAGAAGGGAGCTTAACCCATTTGGTGTAAACAGATTGGCGTTATTTTTTTAAAATGTGCTTTCTTACCATTAAACTGAAGATGCTGTTTGTGGCTTCTCTAAAAATTTATATAGCCTTTCTATTTTACAAGTCCATCAAGTAACAACATTTAGGACTAAATGGCAACTGTCCTGCAAGGGTGTGGGACCTGCTGGGAACCAGCCCTCCAAAGCACTGTAGCTGCAAGTCCTCTGTGTCCATTCTGAAGGTTAATACTGCAAGCGACTGCCATACAATGAAGGAGCATATTGTCAGCCAGGCCTCTGGACTGGATTGCATCAATGCGCCGTGGTGCTTCATTACATACTTGTTGTTGAACAGCAGTTCTTATGATATATGTTTGAGATTTTGTTGGGAATACACCGCTTTTTCTATCGGAACGGGAGAAATGAACAATTTCCCATTCCTGGTGAGCTCACAAACACAAATGTCACTCTGGGAGAGGCAAGCAAGGATTCATGGCTACCGACAGGTCCCACACGTGCTGTTGTTAAGTCCCTTTCACAACAGGCCTTTCAGACCTGGTAAAAGTGAGATATGGATGCTGGCCATCTCTTGCCGTTCGTACCTCGTGCCAAGTCTTCTGTTGTCCGATTTGCCCTGCCAGAACTAAGTTGCTTTGGGGTGTGCGTATGAGTGTGTGTGGGTGTGTGACTGAATTCTAGAGAGGGCTTTTTTCCTTTCGAAACCCAGCCCATAAAAGTGAAATTTCCTAAGCAAGATGAATGACAGTCTTTTAACTTGTGCCAGTGGGGGTTGGCGATAAAAGGACTGTCCTCCCTTGTAGATTGGCCGACTCTTTGTGTCTCTTCCTCTTATGCACAGGAACATCGAAACCTGATACTAACTTAGGTCGAATCTGCATTTCTCTTTCCCACCGGTGTCCCAGCCTTCTGACACCGTCTTTAAAAAAAGCTGTCTACATTTGGTGTCATTTTCACACCTCAACAGTGCTAGCATACTTTTGCATGTCGGCGGCATATGTTTATCGCCCTCTTGTGGGGGCTCCGCTGTCATCGCACCCCTGCACTGCTTTAAAAAAATCTTCTCCAAACAACATTCAAACAAGCATAGAGAAAGACGGCGTCACGGCAGCACAAAACTGATTAAGAATGCAAATACAGATTTGACATTAATGTGGAACAGCGTGAGATTTGTTGCTCAAGAAAAGCAGGCCGTTGAAGCAACAGCGCAAGTAAAAATTGCCTACCTAGAATGGCCTATAATTGGACAAAAGCCCTAATACCATGTGGGGGATAAGGGCTAGTGGACTTGACAGATTCAAGTGCACGGTTTAAGGCAGTAAAATGTCTGATGCAAATAGTAATTCTAAGCCTCTACCTTTTTCCAGCTGGCCCATCCCAGAGTACCACACCCTATAATTATTTAGGCCCAATTCTATTGCAGTGGGATTCATCAGCTACATGTAGGGGTTTGGGAGGGAGGAAGGAAGTGAAAGCAGCAGAGGAAGTAAGAAGTATCTCTTCTTTCACAACAAGTATTTTGCCTGGGAGCTGCATTACCCTTGGATGGTGTGATGGAAGGGAAAAACCAATGTGAGAGCAAACGTCTGTGCTTTTGCGTGCGTGTATTTGGAAAGTGCTTGTGGTTACTCTGTCCACTTTAAAATTGAGAAGGTGATTCTCTGGGGGGGGGAGAGAAAGGCTGCCCACCCTTCCTTACCTTCAGTGCTTTTCAGTCAGCAGTTTTTCTTGTTGGCTAGTACCTCGTGTCCCTTTTGTCAGTTTCCAGAACAGTGGTCTTTGTGGCCAGACCTGCCAGTGAAGCTGAATGTTCTTTCCACCGTTCAAATGGGCTACAGTGGAGAGATACCATTTATTGCTGCCATCGAACGACTATAGGTTACTTGGGTCCTCCGATGTTGTTGAGAGCCAGTTTGGTGTGGTGGTTAAGTGTGTGGACTCTAATCTGGGAGAACCGGGTTTGATTCCCCACTCCTCCACTTGCACCTGCTGGATGACCTTGGACAAGCCGTAGCTCTGATAAGAGCTGTTCTTGAAAAAGAGACGTTTCTGTCAGAGCTCTCTCAGCCCCACCTACGTCAAAGGGTGTCTCTTGTGGGAAAGGGAAAGGAGTTTGTAAGCCGCTCTGAGACGCCTTTGGGTAGTGAAGGGCGGGGTATGAATCCAATCTCTTCTTCTTCTTCTTGTTCCCCTCACACTTCTCTGTGGTAACTGTGGTCGTCACCTTTACTGTGGTGCTCACTTCCTAGTACTTCCATCTACATAAAGTCGTCCCTGAAAAACATGGATCTTGCTCAGGGAAAAGCCAAGTGCTGGCGACAGAGGAAGCGAGCGCCACAAGTGGAGGAAAGCCACTGCAGTGGACAGAGAGAAGCGTGAGGGGAACGATGGCCAGTGTCTCCTTATCTTGTTAAGCTGTTATTAAACGGAGGGCTTTCCACGAGCCGTGTTACTTTTAAGGCGTGCTGTCCAGTTGCCTGTAGCGGCAGTGGCTTATTCCACCCTCGGCACCCCACCTTGCTGCCGATGCCTTAACTGCCTGTGGAGAAAAGCAGCTGCCAGCGGAGCCGCTCCATTGGTCCCAGACCATTCGTGAGGCCTGTTTGGTGCAGTGGTTAAGTGTGCGGACTCTAATCTGGGAGAACCAGGTTTGACGTGTAGGATGCAGGTTGGATGAGTGGTTCGATTCCCCACTCCTCCCCCACTCCCTTGGGCAAGCCATAGTTCTGCCAGAGCAGTCCTCGAAAGAGCTCTCTCAGCCCCACCTACCTCCCAGGGTGTCTGTTGTGGGGAGGGGAAGGGAAAGGAGATTGTAAACCGCTCTGAGACTCTGAGTGAAGGGCCATGGGGTATCAACCAAATCTCCTCCTCCTCCTGTCAAGCTTCCAGGGAGGTCAGAAGGTGTGGTTGGAAAGCACCCTGATCAATATTCTCTAATCAGCCAATACCCCATAAGTGTTGACTACTCTTCTGCATAGCACAGAAGCCCTCAAACAATCTGCTTCTTACTAGGCAGGGTGACAGCTCAGGGGGTCCAAGCACTGTGCTCATAGATCTTCTGCTCTTTTTTATGCTCAGACTTAAAATAAAAAGAGAAAGATTGAAGGTCAAAGAAGACGGGGAGGGCAAAGGATGAGATGGTTAGACAGTGTCATAGATGCAACGAACATAAAATTGAGCAAACTTCAGAGGACGGCGGAAGACAGGAGGGCCTGGCGGGATCTGGTCCATGGGGTCGCGAAGAGTCGGACTCGACTGTGCGACTGAACAACAACAAAAAGCCATGGCTGGCATTGAGCAGTTGTACCTTCCAGCAAAAGAGAAAAACCTGACTTCATTACAGACTACCTAGAAAATGTTCAGCTTCCCCCTCCCCCCCCCCCGCCTTTAATCCTTGTGCTGAAAAAAAGAAAGCTCTTGCTCGCTTTATCAGGTCTGACTGGAACCCCAAACGTGTCCAATTAGGGTGAGAGGACTTGCAGCCAGAAAATGACTCTAATGCACTTAACTTGGTAGGTGGCGTTTTACTACCAGCTTTTAAGCTGCAAATTGAGTCTGCTTCTGAAATATTAAGGAGCCTGTTCCACTTTTCTTACAGCAGCAGCTTAGAACTGCCTAAACTCCAATGCTGACGCATGAGACCAAGTAGAATCGCTGATACTTTTGCAGTTTGTAACAGCTGCATGGGGATGAAACGGCCATCACTGGTAACATTAATTGCTGAATTGTTCATTTGGCCAGTAAAAGCTGCATTTGTGTGTGTTTACATTGTTCAGAGATTATGTATGTTCTGACTGTGATGCCAAGAATGGCAAGTCTAGACACAGGAGGGTTGAATGTAAGTTTGGCTGAGAGAACATGAATGGTTCTAGAAGCCCTGACCTTGTTTGTAAAATGCCCTTTTTGTGTATATGAAATTTGACTCCTGTTCATATTTTTCCTTGGTTGGGGGGAAAAATGTTCCATGTGTGAATGCACATCACATGCATTAATGGCATTATCTGGTTTCAAATTGTAATAAAATTCCAAAAAGTAATTTGCATAAATATGTGTCCTGTGATTTATGAGTAAGTATATTAAATGGCCCTGCTGCTTCCCCTTGGGTCTTTGCAACACATGGTTTTCTACATCCCATGTCCATTACTAAACCTTTTTGAGGGAGTTTCCTGTCAGACTCCTGCACAAGACTCCCAACAACACTGGCTTTGGCAATGATTCGTTTATTGAGATATCATCATGATCTAGGCTAGTACAGTATCGTGTCAGAACTGAGATTCTAGCGGGAAGATTCAGGGATATAGACAGTTCAAACAGGGGCCCCTTCCCAGAATGATTACTCACACTTCGCAGCCATCCCGCCTAGCACTTGCGTTCACTATCCCCCCACATACCTGGAAATATATGATCCCGTTATCTACAATAGCAAGCTGGCACGGCTCTGGTTTCAAGGTCGTCCCTCGAGGAGGGAGGTGTCTTAAGGAAGAGTTATGATGCCTGTTGATACTGCAGTTCGCACACTCAGCTATCCACCACCACCACCCATAGGAATTTCCCTCCCCCCTGCAACTATGGCAAACTAAGCAGAGTTTGACACTCTGCCCCCCCCCCAAAGCCCACCCCCCCCCATGGCTTGAGGATGCTGCCTATGAAAAGCATGCACCAATCTTGCAAACTTTACATGTTTAGCCTCCACCCCATTCATTATGGCTCAGGTCAAAATAGTACAATCAGCCCCGTTTGAGTTCAGAGTCTAAAATGTTCTCCACTTCTTGGTGGGCCTCTCCATCCATGATCAGCAGAGGAGGAACTGGAGGACAAGGTTTCCACTTCGACGGTCCAGGA